AGGACTTTCTTCATTGCCCATGCAGGGGCACGGCTCTGGCTGTTGATAGATAAAAATTGAGGATTTAATAGTTTTTTAGAAAAGTCTGGATCAATTTAGTGTTTGCTCTCAGTCACACACTTAAACATAAAATTGAACAACTGCTGATTAATGCTTCAACTAACTGCTTTAAATATGTGGTAGAGACCCTAAAACTGGTAAATACATGACATTTAGATTCAAGTAACTTTTTTTGGGCGATACAGTAATGTGAAAGAATATTGTAATAAAATAAAAATATAACAGAATAATATTTTATGGAAGTTGGGCTTTAATCTGTTTTACAACTTCATCATTTGTTTGTTTACATCAAGTGCTGCGATGGCTCTGCTGCTCAGTTCTGGTAGGTTTTATATTTTCGCCCATGGAGTGGAGTGGGCAGAGTCCATAAGAAAGCAAGAAAATAAATAATTACACTATTTAAAAGCACATTCAGAAAGCAGGTGGGAAATGTTCCTACGTAACCTGAACGCATCATAGGGAAAGAACAGCTCCAACTGGAACTGAAGTGTTTGTTGCAGGTGACATGAAGGTTTTATTACTCCGAGTCCTCTCAGTGATTTACTGCGTATTTAAATCAACTTTGAACTTATAGCAGCACTACAAAATGAACACAATGTTCTCCAAGAGCCAAAGTCAAAATATTAGACTTTATGTTCAAGAAGAATGCAGCAATTTCACTAGAAACTAAACATTCTTGCATTTATATATTTCCTGTATAATGGAAAATGTTAATTTTTAACACACTGTAATAATAGCCAAAAGCTAAGTGCCACAAATCTTCATATAAATTGCACCTAAAGAGTATTTTCTCCATATTTCTTTTTTTTTTGTGTGTGTGCTAAAAATAGAAGAAATCTTCCAGTAAAGTGACTTCAAATCCCTGAATTCTTCAGAACCTCAATGATTCAGACGTAAAGTTTCCATCCACACCGTTCAGGAAGGACATGGAACGTGACCTGTAAAGGTTCTCTGGGTTTAACTGCACGCTGGGTCCCATCAGAACAGGAAGACTCGATCCATTACCCTCCCACTCCCCTTCAGAACCATCCGGTCCGAGTAGACGGAGACGGTGCAGAAGGCGGCGCTGTGAGGGGGCGTCTCGATCACCCCGTCCATCGTCAGGTGGTGCACCCTGGTGCTCTCGTCCTGGTGATACGCGCCGTCGTGGACGTGTCCCGCCATGTAGCACACGACGCTGCTGTGGGAGCGGATGATGGCCAGGAGCTCCTCGAAGTTCCACGCCAGACAAACGGAGTCCGTGGTGTACGGGTGGACCGGGAGGTGACCTGGACCGGGAAAATAAAACGTCATCAGACTACGTGCACACGTCGCTCTTAACGTGTCTGTTCTACTAGAAGCTGCTGTTAAAACTCCTAATTATTCGCAGAAAGTATATATTTTTATTACATTTGTCACCGTCGGACGACATTAATTTACTGGTGCAGTGTATTCTGGGGAGATGTAGATCGGTTGGAGACCAGAACACAAGAAGTCAAGACCATAAAGTTTTATTTTCTATTGATCCTTATGCAGAATATTGTGTCAGAACAATCAGACGAGATGTTCTGTTTAATTCATTAACTCTGGAGCCAACGTCATCATTAGTGTCTGGCATCGAGCTTGAAGGTCTGAACTTCAGATTATGTTCGTTCAAGCTGAAAAGGAAGATGCAAAACAACACAACCCGTCTGGTAATTCACCCAGAATGCACTGCAGCATAAATAAAATGGCAACATCTGTGTCTTTAATAAAAAAATAATTAAAAAAGTACAAATAAACAGCTTACAGTATTTTTACCGTCTCCGTTTTTTAGTCGTTTATGAAATAACGTCTATTGTTTCAACTGGTCTGACTGGGATCCTTTAACTCTGTTTCTGACTGGAAACTTTATTATTAACCAGCAATGACTGGTGTGAGACAACATCTGCAGAGCTTTTCTCTTTCTGCAAGGTACCAAGTTAAATAATAACTAGACTCTGTCACAGGAAGTAGTTTTAGAAAACAAATGATGTCATCATATGAGGACTGTAAGTTTATTTTTGTATTTTATACGTTTCTTTGCAAACTGGGGTCAGAAGGTCCCAATAACTAAAAACTAAATTTCATCAGAAAACAGTGTCCTCATGAGGACACTGGGTCTCAGGAGGGTCTCAGCATGATGAGGTTGGACTTACTGACTAACGTGACTTTCTCCTGGTTCCCATCAGCTGAGGACAGAACCGAGTCCAGCCAGTCCAGCTGATCCGGACTGAAACCACCGTTGAACATCGTAAACCGACCCTGGTCCTCCGAGTCTGAAACATACGGGTCAGAGTTCTGAACTGGTTCTGACTCCAGATTAGAGTCTCCCACCTGTCAGGGTCAAGACTGGACCATAGAAGCAGACTGTATATCATGATCATATATCATTATATAATATTAATTAATTAATTAATTATCATTAATACATGAATGAATGAACGTCCAATCAATGACGAACCTGGAGGACAGTTGAGGTCCTGGTTCTTGTTGTACCTTTGGATCAGAGTCTTGGCCTCCTGGTACTGTTCGGAGGACTCCTCTCGACCCAGCAGGCCCACATCGTAAGAGTCCATGATGACGAACCTGAACCCCGGGACAGGGCAGAACTGGTAGGCGTAGATGTCTGAGCGAGCCGGGGTTCCGGTCGGACTCTGGTCAGCCAGAACTTTACTGTTGAGCCGTGAAAGCATCAGCGCGCTCCTGCTGAAGTTATACAGCTCGTGGTTTCCCCACACGTGATGGACCGGACCGGGACCGGAGCTGAGCTCGGCCAGGACCTTGTCCAGGGCCCGGTCCGAGGCTCCGCGAGCCACGTTCAAGCCGTCGATGACGTCACCCAGCTGAAGAACAAAGTCCGGTTTCGGCTCCGACTCGGACCAACTTTTCTGGGCCTTTTTCAGCAGCTGCAGGCTGGTCCGGTAGTACCGCCGGTTGGTTCGGGTGTAGTTGTACCCATCGTCGATATCAGCGTACTGGATGTCAGCTATCACACCGAACGTAAACAGCGGAGGTTCTGTAGGACGCCGGTCCATTTCCGGTTTTAGTTTCTAAATGACTCGAGTTCAGCTGGTTCTTTAAAAACGATTAAAACACCAGAGCCGAAGCCTCTGACATCATGGACGCCATAGATGTAAACACTGTGACACCGGAACCGGTGTTACAGCGCGGACGAAAGAACTTCCGGTTATTGTAACGTTCAAAGTAAGACACAAAAATGACTTCCGGTCACAGCGTCCTTCAAAATAAGACATAAAAATGACTTCCGGTCGCTGCGTCCTTGGAAATAAGGTACAAAATGACCACCTCACTCACTGAAAGCTGCTGCTAGTCTGAAATAAAATAACACGTTCATAAATGTATATTGTATTTTGTTACCACAGAGTATAAACTTATGTAATTAATAAATGATCCCCCCCCACAACATATTCTTTACTTTTCATAAAATATTTTTATTTATATTTCATATAAAACTTATTAACTTAAACTAAAAAGATGTTCAAGTTTGAATATACAATGTACAGTGATTAAAAATGTTTATTAAATGATGATAAAATGTTTTGCGATTGTGTGATTTTGACAATACAGAGGAAAAAAACACATTTTATTTGTGCTGAAGTTGCAGCAATAAAATCATGTGCAGTAATGTTTGATTTTTAATTTTTGTACATTTTCAAATCTTGGTTCAAAAGGATTAATTTTAGATCATGTGCATTTTAGCTTATCCTTGAAATACTTATTCATTCAAATTCATCCTGCTTCACCATTATATTCTAACGTGTTGCTCAACGTCTCTCTTTAGGACATTGTAAATATTATAATTACTTTTTCACTTTTTGGTACTTTTATTTGTGTACCCTTATTGCAGGATTTTAGTATTTCTTGTTGGTTTAATCTTTGATTTTTTTAGCGAGTCAAATCAGTTCTTCTCATCCTAAACATTTCATTGTACTGTTAACCCTGTGTTAACCTGCACATGACAAATAAACACAACTTGACTTTAACTTGAGTTTGTTTGTTTTCATTTTATATAAAGACTCTTCCTTCATTCCAACAAAAGAAAACATACATTTTACATTGAGATCAGATTTACATTCAGTTATTATTATTATTATTATTATTATTATTATTATTCATAACCCTTTACTTTTGTGACTTATTGAGATGGGACATGTGGTCCTGAAATGCAGAACAAACATTTTCTAAAAGTCTGTTTGTTTGTTTTTATTTTTGTTTATGTTCAGTAAAGTTTGACAAACAACATTTTCTGTTTTTCTAAATGAACGCAGAGCAATTCAAAGAGATTTTTTTTAAATTGAAGAAAAGTTTCTGATGAATTAAAATAATGCGTACATGTTTAAACCTAAACACATCAAAGAAAAAAGAAAAAATGTAAACAGAAGTGAAGAAGGCACAATAACACTTTATATTAGTTTTAGAACAAGAAAACAAAATCAACAGTTAAATTATAATCCAAAATGTGCTATTATCACCTTAAATTGAAGATACTTGTTCACTGTAAACTAAAGGAAGCGTATTGATGATGCAGCGTTTTCTGTGAGTCAGGCAGGTCTCGGGCCGCTGAGGCAGTTAGGAATCCACTTGGGGTCACCAGGGGAGGCCGACTCCTCCCACTCCCCTTCAGCACCCTAAAACAGAACAGAAGGAGACTCTTGGACCAACGTTGACCCGACTGCAGCACAACAATACGCAGACACGCAGAACGTCAGTAACTACAGATAAGATGGCCACTGTCATCATGTGCATGAAGCAAAACGTCCAAACTGGGAGAGAGGAAGCAGGAAACAGTGTGACAGAACATGCTCCACACTCAGCATCATCATCCTCAGCAGCACCTCCTCTGAGCCCCTCAGGTGAGACAGTTCCCTCTCTAGAACGTTCTCAGGGTTCTGCTCTCCGCTGAGCAGCTGCAGCTCAGCGCAGACTCTATGAGTTTTATTGTCACTCCTCACTCTCATTTCTTCACACAGTTTGAGTTGTTGTTGTTTTTTTCATTCAAAGCTGAGACGCAGTTTATCATTTAAAGAACGATGTTGAGTTACCTGCTCTGATGGGACGTATTCACCGTGCTGCTCACAGCTGAGGTCAAACACGTACCTGCCCGGACCCAGAGGCTGCAGAACACAAGACGAGCTCCATCACCAACGATCATATCTCAGGTTGAAACGACTCGTTAGGATTAGTTTGTCAAACTCCCACAGGAAGAATGCAGCTGCCACAGTTTGTGCCACAGAGTCTGCTATGATGTCATGGATTAACGGCGTGGATCGTTTCCACACCTTCAAGCCCACAGACAGGAAGTGTTTCTTACACTCCAACATTTTTCAGTCAGGTCATCTGGACAGTTTCTTTTTTGTGTGTTGAAACGTTTCGCCTTCCATCCAGAAGGCTTCATCAGTCAAGGAAACACACAACACAAAACTGATGTATACCTAACTGATAACTGATTGTATACCTGGATTATTGAGCATGGACTTTGTTGTTTTCAACCAGTTTGACACGACTGTCAACAAGGAAGAGGGCCGGCAATGGAGGAGGGGGCGTGGCAAAGAGACCATCTTAGCACCAACATAACTGGTTTGTTCCACTTTGGAGTAAGCTGTTGGGGGAAGAATCAGTTTTGTGTTGTGTGTTTCCTTGACTGATGAAGCCTTCTGGATCGAAGGTGAAATGTTTCAACACAAAAAAGAATCTGTCCAGATGACCTGACTGAAAAATGTTGGATTGTATACCTGGATTATTGAGCATGGACTTTGTTGTTTCTTACACTGTTGTTGGTAAAGTTGCCGTGATATCTGCAGTTGCTGTAGATGTACTCTCCTGCTGACTCCATGGCTCCGTTCACCCAGGTCCCTCTGAACTTTGCTCCAGTCTCACTGTACATATAGAGCCCCTGGCCGTGCCTGAAGAGCACACAACACAGCTGAGCTGCAGGGTTACAGGTCCTGGTTTCATGAACAGGCTCATTTCATTTTCTTATGCTGTTAAGAACAAAGTAATTCCACTGTTGGAGGCTTTTACACATCAGGACATGATAAAAAAAATGATCTGGTCTTTGCCAGGTTCTAAAATGGTTCTGATCCAAACGCAGGTCTACAACCCCCCCCCCCACAGCAAATTCCACTAAAAAAAACAAAGTCCAAACTTTGTTGAAGTGTTTTGTTCAAGAAAGAAATCACACAAAGGTCACGGAAATAACCTGAAACTGAAAAATAAGTAAGGTGGCTCAGTGGGTAGAGCTGCTGCCTCTGAGTGAGAAGGTCACCGGATCAAATGACGATGTGATGTCCCTGTGATGGACAGGTCTCCAGTCCATCACAGGGACACATAGAGACAAATGAGACAAACAACCATTCACTCACTCTCTCTCTCTCTCACCTAGGGACAATTTAGAGTTACCAACCAGTCTAACATACATGTTTTTGGTCTGTCGGAGGAAACTGGAGTACCTGGAGAAAACCCACGCAGCACAGACAGAACATGCAAACTCCACCCAGAAAGCCCCCCCGCTGGGATTTGAACCTTTGACTTTCTTGCTGAGGGGAAACAGCTCTACTAGTGAACGAATTGAGCAGCATGCTGAAGGGAAAATCTTTAGTTAGGACCATCTCAGAGCAGCGTGATGATCCTACAGGTGTGCAGTGGAGAGCATCCTGTGCTCCAGCATCAACGTGTGGCATGGAGGCTGCACAGCTGCAGAAAGAAAAGCTTTGCAGAGAGTGGTGAAGGCTGCACAGAAGACTGTTGGAGTCAGCCTCCCCACCATCACAGACATTTACACCTCCACATGCAGGAAGAGGGCCACCTGCATCATGAAGGACCCCACTCACCCAGCACACACACTTTTTGCCCCGCTCCCCTCAGGAAGGAGGTTGAGGAGCATTAAGTGTAGAACCACTAGACTGAGGAACAGCTTCTACCCTGAGGCTGTTAGACTCATGAATATCTAACCAGAATCATCACTGTGGAAAAAAATCACTGTAATGACACTTTAATAGGTGAAATGTGCTGCTGATCTCATATAATATAATATAATATAATATAATATAATATAATAGAATAGAATAGAATAGAATAGAATAGAATAGAATAGAATAGAAACAGCCTTTATTGTCCCACGGATGGAAAATTCAAGTGCAACAGCAGCAACAGATGCTCATGCTGCTGATTATCTCATGCTGCTGAGCTCATGCTGCTGATTATCTCATGATGCTGATCTCATGCTGCTGTATTCATTCATACCCATCTACTCACCACAGACTCATGTTCGGGCTGCTGTTGTTATGTCATATTGCTTTACATTATTAGTGTTTAGTGTATAAAGTAGTCCCTCGCTACTTCACGATTCATTTATCACGGTCTCGATCTATCACGTTTTTTCAAAATAAAATAGGACACTACACATAATGGCTGATTGATGGATGAGCTGATTGATTGGCATGGAATTTTTATTTTAAATGAATTATTTAGCACCTGCTGCACATTTGTGCAGCCCACAGCTGCAGAAATAGCTTCCTCCTGCAGCTGATCAGCTATTCTCTGTGCAGAGTGGAGAAGTGGGCATGGCCTAGAGCGCTTGCAGGTGGCAAAGAGCAGCTGAGTCAGAGAGCCGAAATCATGACATTCTGTGCTCTTTTAGAGCATTTAGAGTTTAGAAACATTGTTCAGAAT